AGATCTACCTGCCTCTGCTTCCCAAGTGCTAGGATCAAAAGTGTGTGCCACTACACCTGGCTACTGGTGGTTCTGCGTGCCATGCAGGCATCAATCATAAAGAGCACTGGGGAAAAGTCTTCACAGTGGGCAGAACTTGGCAGTGGACTAACATACCTGTATGTTTGCTTAGATGGAGAAATGGACAGATAAGTGATTTTTCACTGATCCATGGGCTGTAGAAAATGGATTGACTAGATTGTCAGGGATTTAGAAGGAGCATGATTGGGAAATTAGTGAGGAAGACATTTGGGGAAGAAGTATGTGGTAGAAGTATGTGAAGATAATTGTGTCCAATGTAAAGGCTAATCAAAAGATGACTTCAGAAGAGAAAGAGTTTAATAGTCAAAGATAGGACGGCCCATTCTGTGGACACTAGGATTCATTTTCTAGCCATTCTAGCCATTCTAGCCATGGGCCCATGAACAAATAGCTGTGGTAGAGTTATGCATGGGCTTAACAACATGGACTTCCACTTGCTAAGGATCACTTGACTATGGCTGCTTCTGAATGCCATATCTGCCAGCAGCAGAGACCAATACAGAGCCCCAGATATGTCATCGTTCTCTGGAGTGACCCTGACCCGTCAGCAACCTGACAGCCGTGGACTCACTGGACCACTTCCATTGTGGAAGGGACAGTACTTTGACCTTAGTGGAATAGATAATTTATTCTAGTTATGAATTTTCCTTCCCTGCCTGTAATGCTTCTGCCAAAACTACCATCTGTGGACATATGGCATGGCTTATCCGTTATCATGGTATTCTACACAGCATTGCTCCTGACCAGGGAACCCACTTCACAACTAGGGAAGTGCAACAAAGACTCATGGAATTCACTGGCTTTATGGTGTCCTCCACTATCCTGAATGAGCTACCTTGACACAACAGTGAAATGGCCTTTTAAAGATGCAGCTAGGAGCTGGAGAGATGACCCAGCACTTAAGAGCACTGGCTGCTCTTACAGAAGACCTAGGCTTGATTCCCAGTACCCAAAGTGTGGTTCACAACTGTCTGTAACTCCTGTTCCAAGAGATCCAACCTTTTTCTGGCCTCCCTGGGCACCATATGTACACATGGTACACAGACACACATGCATACACATAAAATAATAATCATCATTAAAGATAATATAAAATAAAGATACAACTAAAGTGCCAGTTGGGTGAGAATAGCCTAGAGGAATTGGGCAGGGTTCTTCAGAAGTCTGTATATGCTTTGAGTCAATGTCCAATATGTAGTACTGTTTCTCCTATAGCCAGGATTCGAAGGTCCAGGACTCAACAGGGAAGAAATGGCAGTGATTCCACTCACAAGCACCCCAATGGCCTATTAGGAAACTGTTTGCTTCCTGTTCCCATGACTTCATGCTCTGCAAACCTAGAAGTTTTGGTTTTAAATGGAAGAATGCTTCTTAAATGGAGGGCCAACAAATATTTCATTGAACTGGAGTGAAGACCCGGCCATCTGGGGCTCCTGGTGTCCTTGAGTCAACTAAGGAATGACCAATAATGTTAGGAGGGCTGGTTGATCCAGACTACCTGGGAAGAACTGGACTGCTTCTTCATAATGGGGGTATGGAAGAGCATGTCTGTAGTGCAAGAGTTCCTTCAGAGATCTTGGTGTTGCCATGTCCCGTGGTTTAGGCCAATGGGAAGCTACAGCAATCCAATCCAGACATGATGACAGCAGGACCAGAGCCTTTGAATGAAAGTGTCGTTTCACCCCTCCAAGTTAGATGCAAGAGTCACCAGAGTGCTTGTTAAGAGTAGGGGAAGTACAGTGTGAACAGTAGCAGGTGAGCTTATAAATACTTGCTAAGGCTATGTGGCCAGTTATTTGTGATTGTCTTCCTTTTGCTTCTTTATCATGGAATGTAACATTAATTGAGATAAAATTAGTATTAAGCATTGTAAATCTATATTATCATATTAAAGCCATGGGACATTAAAAAATGAAATATTCCTCAAAGGACTTTGCTACCCAAGCCCTCTGGGTAGCAGAAGATTGCAGGGTTTGTTGGTTTCTCTGTTGGGTTTGATTGTGCATTGCTGTGATTGCTCCTTTGCTTTTGTCCCTTCTTTTTTCCGCCTTTGGAATAAGAATGTCTACTTGGCACCATAATATATTGGAAGTATGCTCGTGGAGCCCACAGTTAAGAGATTGGAGACTGTTAAAGCACTAGGGTTTTTAAGGACTGGGGAGACGGAGACCTTTGAAAGCAGACTGTAGTAATGTGTGCTGAGGCAAAACCAAAGGCCTTGCACATGCTTGGCAAGAACTCTAACACTGAGCCCTTGTGTTTCTTAGTGATTAAGGCTGGGGCAACTGGGTGCTTCATGAATTCATGTGAAAGAGTAATGTCTTTTGAAATCATCCATGCTCTTACTCATACATTCAGCCATGTTTATTCAGCGTCATTGTGTAGCAAAAGCTGGTATCAAAATGGTTATAGAAGTGAAAAGGGCATCTCTCTTACAGTGCATGGTGAAAATGCAAAAAAAAAAAATTTACACTCCACACAAAGATTGACCATTGACTAGAGCCCCTTGTCTAGCATATAGAAGACCCTACATTTGATCCCCAACTCCACCAAAATAAATATAAATAAATAAATAAATAAATAAATAAATAAATATTCGCCTGGAAGAACTCAATGAAGCCCCCAGAGATAATGTAGCTAAATTAGAGTGCCTACCTAGCCTGCAAGAAGCCTTGTCCTATCTCTAGCTGAGTGTGATAGTGGTCCCTATAGCCATAGCACTTAGAGGTAAAAGCAGGAAGATCATACATTAAAATGAGGAGCTAGGGACATGACTTAGTGGGTAAGAGCACTTATTGGGCAAACATGAGGCCCTGAGTCCAAATCCCTAGGACTCGCATTTAAAAAAACAAAACAAAACAAAAAAAAGCTGTGTAGCTGTGTATAGCTGTTAAAGCCTGTAACCCCAGTGTTGTCTGTTGTGAGCAGTGATGGAAGGACCCTACTGGTTGGCTGCTGGGGCTAAAGCAGATACATACTGTGTCAAAGGTGGCTGTGTATAGCTGTTAAAGCCTGTAACCCCAGTGTTGTCTGTTGTGAGCGGTGATGGAAGGACCCTACTGGTTGGCTGCTGGGGTTAAAGCAGATACATACTGTGTCAAAGGTAGAAAGTGAGACAACAGCTGCCCTCGTCTGGCCATAGTATGTAAGTGCAGGGGCATGTGCACCAGAATACACAGGTGTGCATATGGTAGTGCCCAAGTGTGAACACACGAAAAACACAGGGCAAAGAGAAGCAGCTGAAGGCCACGCGCAGCAATTTCCAGCACAGCCATGCAGACTTATTTTCCTAGTCACTAGGGGGCTGAGGCCGGAGGATGGTTGAAGCCAGCTGGGGCAACTTGGCAAGTCAGGAGCGGGATGAAACTCAGAAAGCACTGGCCTACTTTGGTCAAGGCCCAAGATGGAGAAGCAAAGGAAACTGATCTAGCAGAAGGAGAACGTGCACAACAACACAGAGGTATGAAAATACACAGCCACTTTGGGGAGGTGGGTGATTGGTAAGGGTTTTAGAGCAGGGTTTAGAAGAACTCAATCGGCCCCACCTCTTGCAACCTAAGGTATCAAGATAGGTGCAGAGCACACATTACCAAAGACAGACAAAAGAGGTGCACTTAAACCTTCACCCCGGTGGCAGGAGAGACGGACAGTTTTCGGGGAAAAGTAAAGTCTGAGGAGTATTGGGGGAAGTTCGTCTTTGTCGTCATTCTGAGAACCCTGAGAGGGGAGGCTTCTGGGACATGGGTTCCCCCCACTGCTGGGTGAAGAGGTGACAACACGGGTGAAGCGGGGAGTGGCCAGCCTTAACCCTGCCAGGCACTGTCTGAACCTGGAAATCAGATTCTCTAACACAGTGGGTGTGATCTGCCATCTCTTCTTTCTTACCCTCTCCTGGTCTCCTCAAGACTCTGGTAGCCATGCAAGAGAAGCTCAGTAAGGTGTGGATCGGGCTAGGACCTTGAGAGCTGAAGAGCTGGACCACTGCAGAACAGGGTGCTCTGGTGTGGACAGAGCTGGTTCTCTTCTTAGTGCCCTGTTAGTTCAGGAGCTCATTCAACATGAGGTCAGGAAACACAGCCTGCCTGGGCTGCTGGGGTTCTGGGTCAGTGTGAGGGTGCCCACCTTCTGGTGAAAAGACAAGGCTCTGGCCATGGGATGTCACTGTCACTGTCACTGGTGGACTGAAACCACCAATTTCATGCTGGGCAGAAAGTCTCCCTCCCAGCTGGTATGCTCAAACTGAGTTAAGAAAGGCAAGTGTTTCTGCGTGTTCCACCAAGCACCCAATCCTGAGCTTGCTCAGACCCCTTCCTCACTCCAACTCCAAGCGGACTCAGGCTAGGTACCGCGGGGAGACAGGGGTTAAAACCCAGTGCTTGAGTGGCCCCTTCCCCCTCCCCAGCCCCCTCGTCTCCACTCGGCGCCTCGCCTGGAGCGGAGGTTCCGAGTCCTGCACCAGAAGGGAGGGGGGAAATGGGCTTGTTT